TATGGAAGGGCCTCGAGGCAATGTCTGGCTACAAGGGGCCCAACCAACAGCCTACGCGGGACCAAAAGTGGGTGAATGATCTGAACTTATTCTTAAACAGATTCAATCAGCCATCCCCCCCTCCAGTCCTCCCTGCTGCTGCAACCTCCTGTAGATTGCCCACCCTCCTCCACCCCCTTTCCCACAACACTCGGCTCCCCCCCACACTCCTCATACACTACACTCCACGACCACCGCCCCACCCCCTCTCCAACAACCTATGGCACACAGCCCCCAACTTGTCCCTCACAACTGACCAGGTGAGGAAAGAACTGAGAAGGATCAGGGTGAGAAAGGCCACGGGTCCAGACGGTATCAGCTCAAGGCTCCTCAGGTCCAGTGCAGACCAGCTGTGCGGGATAGTGGAGCACGTCTTCAACTTGAGCTTGAAGCTGGGGAGAGTACCACAGCTGTGGAAAACATCCTCCATGGTACCAGTCCCAAAGACCCCGCGACCCAAGGACTTCAACAGCTTCAGGCCGGTGGCGTTGACATCCCACCTAATGCAGACGCTAGAGAGGCTGGTCCTTGTACATCTCTGCTCCCTGGTGAGCTCATCTTTGGACCCACTTCAGTTCGCCCACCAATATGGCGTCGGGGTGGATGACGCTGTCATCTACCTGCTACACAGATGCATTTCTCCAGTGCCTTCAACACCATCCAGCCTTTGCTTCTGAGGGACAAGCTGGAGCAGACCGGGGTGGCCCACCACCTCACTGCATGGATCTTGGACTACCTCACCAACCGTCAACAGTATGTGTGGATACAGGAGTGTGAGTCCAACCTGGTATCCTGCAGCACGGCGGCCCCACACAGAACCGTTCTAGCTCCATTCCTCTTCACCATATACACCTCAGACTTCAAATACTACTCTGCAAACTGCTACCTGCAAAAGTTCTCTGACGACTCTGCAATCGTGGGCCTCATTTCCGCCGGTGATGACAGGGAATACAGGGAACTGAACCAGGACTTTATAAACATAGCACAAAAATTTAGGAAATTTGTGTTTGGTAGATTATTTCTTTGTTGTAACAATGCTTCTTAGCAATAGGCTTTCCAATGGTATAAGATTTATTTATTTCCCTTTTAAATGGTACCACATTTGTAAGGAACATGCATTTGTGGGATGAGCATTTCCCCAATTACCGTTAATGCTCTAGCTTCTGCCTTAAAGAACCCCTCAGACTGCCTTTTAGTTAGATTCCTCATACAAGGTTTCACTCAAGGCTTCCACCCAGGTTTGCAGCTGACGCCAGATTCCTCCTACATATGTTAAACTTTGCAGTCAATCATCTTCAGGCCGGACACAGTCGATAAACCTCTGGCTCAGGAAGTCAAAGAAGCATTCATGATCGGCCAACTCCCTACCCTTATCCCTCATCCGCCTTGCATGTCAGGAAGCCTGATGGTCCAAGGCAAACATCACTAGCGCCTTCAAAGTCCTTCCCATCTACCCTGAGCACTGGAACCTTGCACAAAGCATCCCAAAAATGTTAGATTCTTTATCTGAAGCACTCTGCTGGATCCTGAAAAATGTCCACAAACTACCGTACGTCATATATCTCTTAGACGACTTCCTCACCGTCACGCTACCTTCCTACTAGGGGTGGGGGAAAAAATCGATACAGCATAGTATCGCGATATTGTGCGTGGCGATATTGTATCGATTCACGGAGCCAAGTATTGATCTTTTATTATATAAACTATAAAAAAAAATTTACTAGAAAAATCAAATCAATTGCTTTTTCAGTCCACTAGATGGTGCTGAGTTGTTTTCTGGTGAGGTCAGCAAAGGTCCCGGGTCAGCGTGATTGGCAGGAAGTTGGTCAAAACAAAGAGACATCGGAGAAAAAAAATCTGAAATGCACCGTCCGCGTTTAAATCAGACGTCTGGACTTATTTTTGATTTTTTAACAAGGAAGAGAAGGACATTGATATGACACATTGATATGACACATGGATATGACACCGTCGCGGCGTTTTTTCACCGACACAGCCGTGCCCAAGCTCCACAGAGAAGTGAAGCTTAAAGTTGAGGAGGCTTTGAGAACAGCAGAAAGAGTTGCATTAACTTGAGATGCGTGGACGTCAAGCGCAGTGGATTCCTATGTGACTATAACAGCACAATATCTCAGAGGACTGGCGACTGCTGTCTCACGTTCTCCAAACTAGAGCAGTACATGTAAGTCACACTGGGGCAAACATTACAGACCTCCTGCTAAATGCAGCACAAGAATGGGGGATTGCCGACAAAAACCTGGTGGTTGTAACAACGCTTCTAACGTGGGCGTTGCCGTTCAGTTAGCGGGATTCCTGCATGTGAAGTGTTTCGCTCACACGCTCAATCTGGCCTCACAACGGGGTTGAATCTGCCAACAGTAGCCAGACTCATGGGGAGAGTGCAGCGCATAACTGTCTCTCTGCCCTTGACGTCCACGCATCGCAAGTTATACTGAGTTATATAACTCTTATATCCTACTTATATAAGTTATAGTTCATATACTGAGTCCACACGTTTGCATTTAGTTAAGTTGGACTATGTAGTAATACAAACAGTTCAGTTTGTCAGGTTCATGCAACATTTATGACATTATTTATTTATTTTATTTATTTAAAAGGGACCATGTACAGTTTAAACATAAATGTCTCCATTCGATGCACTGTACCAGATTGTAGCTTAAGCTAATTTGCATCTGCAGTCCCTTGGCAGGTCAAACAAGGACAAGACAATAACACAGTAAAAGGAAAAGACATAATACAGAGATATACCATAAAAACATACAAGACACCCAATACAACGCTACACACAAATAGCACATCAAAAATGAATGTGTGCCAATAAAATCAAGTCAGAAAAGACCACAAGAATTGAGGTCAGTGTGTGCAGTGTTGTGCAGCTTTTAAAATACTTTTTAAGTTGGCTTTAAAAGTGCTAATAGTGCTGCAGCTCCTCACACCTTCAGGCACAGGGTGTTCCACTGGTGTGTTGCTTTTACAGTGAAGGCAGATTGACCAAAAGTAGTGCGGCGAAATGGTATTGTACAGTCTCGTGTAGAGGATATTCTCGCTGATCTAATAGAAGTTGCTGAGCGAGTATATACAAAGTTGTTGTGTACATTGTTGGTCAGTCTGTCTGCTTGACAATCCTATTTTGCTGCAATAAAAATGATTGAAGTGAGATGAACAGACTGAAAACTTTATCTTATTAGATAAAACATGTTGACACAGTTTTCCTTTGGGGACATAATTTGAAGTTGAAAAAAGTAATAAATCGCAATATAGGCCTATGTTATCTCAATACTCAGAATATCGCAGTATCGTGATAATATCGCAGTATCGTGATAATATCGTATTGTGACATAAGTATCGTGATAATATCGCATCGTGACCTAAGTATCGTGATAATATCGTATCGCGGGACCTCTGGTGATTCCCACCCCTACTTCCTACCCCCCAGCACATGGCCTCCACACTCTGACTTCTGCTTTTCAGGAACTTGGAGTTCCTCTTCCATCAAAAAAAAAAATCCCTGCATATCCCTGGAATTCGTTGGCATCACCTTTGACTGTCTCACTCCAAGCATCCCTACCTACTGAGAAAATCCACCCGATCTCCTTAATCATCTCAAATTTCCTCCTGGCCCTCAAATGCACCAAAACATCTAAACTACGCCATCGGTATCATCCCCCAATGTCGCTCCTTCTTGTCACACTCCTTTCAGTTGCCGTCTCTGTTCCATCTCCCCATGACCACGTAACACTCGATTAAGCATGCAAAACGGAGCTAAAACTGTGGCACGCAGCCCCCTCCTTCTGAGTTGGTGGCTTCTATCGCACCAAGTGGTCCTCAGCAGAATGTCCGCCCTAATTTTCATAATTCACTCTTCCCTCCACGATCTCCGAAATGTACCCAGAAGTCATAGCAGGGGGCACAAATGGTCTAAAAAGACCATCTTATTTTATTGCGAGAACAGTGCGGTCATAGACATCATTAACAAAGTACGGTCACATTGTCTCGATATAATTTAGTTCATGCAGAGGCTCACTCTTTTTTCAGTCCAGGACTAGTTCATCATCCGAGGCTCACATATTCCAGGTCACACACCACCATATAAGACATCTCCATCCATCCTCCTGACACCGTCTACCACCTCAAACACAGCAAAACCAACCAGTCTGGTCCACCTAAACCCATCTACCTCTTCCGACTAGACTCGTACCTAAGTCCATATGAAACCATCTGCGACTACATAAGCTAAAGACTAGCCAGCCAAACGTCTCTGAAAAACCCCCCATTCATCACAGACAAGGGAAAATGTGTCATACGCTCTTAGCCCTCCTTGTCTCTTCACCCTTCTTTGCCCCATCCTTCCATCCACCTACCCACAATCCGTCAACCCGCATCCCCTCACTCCTCTCCCTACACCCTTTCATCCCTTACCCTACATCCCTTAATAGCACAACCCCCATCCCTTCATCCCCTACCCTACATCCCCTCATCCCACTACCCCCAACTTTTACTCCCTCAACTTCCTTCCCCACCCAAGTACATCCCTCTTACTTCAACACTTAATAAACTATTTAAAACCCTTGTCATTATTGTGGTGGTCTCTGTTAGTGAATTCAAGTTTGCCCTTAAAAATGTTACGCCAGCCACACTATTCATTTAATTTTGTATTCGGAATTATTATGTGACTATAGCATCTTTCAAGTTATACTGATGGAATATGTTTGTGTTTGTAGAACTATGAGACAATCCTGGTGAAAATGAGTGCAGGCAATGTGTTGCTTTTAGCCCATTCTGTTCCAGGTGTGACTCATGCAAAGGCTGTTCCTCAGTGTATACCAATAGAAGGCACCAAAGTTGGAACATTTTCAAATCTACACATATTAACTACTCTTCCCAGAATACTGTGGGAAAGAATGTCTAAATGTCTTGCTTTGGTTTGTGTGTGACTGCAGGTGCTGGAGCGGTTACAGCAGAGAGGGTTCGGGATCACCGGTTCATGTGGAGGTGGAGTGGACTCTTCCCAGTTTAGTGAATACATTCTACGGAGGGAAAGCCGAGGCAGCCAACACCCCCCGACCCTCATCCGAATAAAACAGGAATTTAAGGACTGAACAAACAGAAGTCCCCATTTTTGCACACATATCAACGCCTGTTTCTCCTACTGACAGCAGATGCACTTCAGCAAAGTCAACACACTGAGCAGACATGAGTACACAGAATCTCTTACGCCAGTGAATATACTCTATAGGTAACTGAGATGCTAGTCTTTTTTGATACTATGCCGCATAGATTTTCACACAGTAGCATCATAACATTAAAAACATGGATCCGTTGGTGCAGGGATTTGCAGGGGATCATGGGAATCGGATCCTAAATTTGAGGTACACTAGCATTAACATTTCTGTTGATATGAAATGGAGGCTGGAACTTTGGGATTTGCAGTGTTGATAGTCTATTTATCACGATACATATAATTTTATATTGCGTTATAGTCCTGGAAATTCACTTGAGAAACCATTGATAGATAACAAACAGATGCTAATGTCTGTTTTTGGCTAATCCATTGAATTAAATACCTGAAAAACAAAAGGTACTGCATCACATTGATGCAAAAATGCTGTAAATCGATATGCCATAGAACAGTCCTGCTCTGTGATTTCCAACATTGACCAAATCGTCATAATACCCCCAGTGATATTAAAGGGAGAACTATCAAATATCTCTTCATCATCATATTGTCCAACCCAGTGGCGGGCGGTGTATTTTATACCTGGGCCTTCAGTGCTGTCCTACTACAGTTGAACCATGACGGGATGCTTCGTCATTAACGGACAATGCATATCATCAAAATCAGTGTAATTAACACAATGACAAGAACAAACTCACAAGAACCAGTCACATATATTTATATGACAACAAAGCATGTAGAATAACATAAAACCCAAATAACACGATTCAACACGCCTCTGCACATTCCAGCAAAACTGCGGCGCTAAAACACGCATTCATCCATTCATAGGGACGCTTTTAGTTTTGAAAGACAATGCCTCAGCTCATAGGACCTGTTGACTTTAAAACTGCAAATGTTCTGAAGGCAAATCACTGTCAAAATCCGAGAGCGCAAATGACATCCACACGCGTGTGTAGAGGTCTAGAGCATGCAAATCAAACAGCCGCTTTCACATCACTCCGCGCAGAATATCTGCTCGCGACTACTATCACTGCTCTTCTGCTGCCGAAACTTTAACCTTTTCATTTAAATTTTCTTTTTGACACTAAGTGGGTGGACCCAGACACCATTGTATAACTACATTTAATTGGTTACAATCCTCATCTTTGGATTGGCCGGATATCACTCTGACACAGACGGTACGGAGGTGGTTTTCAATCCGTCACTAAACACTACTCCACTACATCTCAGAGGTAAATGTTCTACATTTGTCTGACAGATTTTGTAAACTTTTCAGAGTGTAGAGGCTGATGAAATACAAAGTATGTTAATAGCGTTGTTAAATACAATAATTAAAAATGTGTTTCTCTTGTAAATGGAGTCAAGTTGCTCAGATTGGTTTAAATTCACTCCATCATTCTATTACAGACAATGTGTGTTTGAGTCAAACCTCTTGTGACAAACAGCTCAAAGAAACTCTTTGATCTTAATTGATTAAAACATGATGTGATCATATTTAATCATACTGTTGTGTTTACAGAAGAGATATAATATAGTTGCATATAATATGAGCAACAATTTGGACCTGCTCAAAGATCTGGAGCCGAGATTAGGGACCACTGTTTGTATATTAACCGTTTGCCCAATTTAAATCACTGACAAGTAATTAGTGGATGAAACAGTATTCAGATCCTTCACTGCAGTAAACGTACTAACACCATACTGATGAAACAATAATCCACTACCAGTAAAATACCTGCATTCAAAACCTCAGTCAATGTTATTATCAGCAACATCTACTTTAGGTACAGAAAGTAAAAGTACCCGTGCAGTAAAATGTACCCTTTCAGTGTTTTACCATTATGTCTGATGTTTTAGGATATGTATTGCTGCATTAACGTGTATGTTGCATGTTTTTAACTCCTTTATATACTGTTGGTTAGTTTAATCAACAGCAATGCATCATATTCTATAAGATCACCATGTTTGTCAGTACAGTACATTATTTACCTCTAAGATGTAGTGGAGTAAAAAGTACATTATTTGCCTCTGAGATCTAGCGCAATCTGAAAACCACCTCTAGACCGCCATCTAGCGTCTGCGTCAGAGTGATGTCGAGGATTGTAAACAATTACATGTAGTTACACAATGGTGACTGGGTCCGCCCACGTATTGTCAAAAATAAAAACTACTCGCGAGCGAGCAGGTGAAAGTTTCGCGAGCAGAAGAGCAGTGATATTAGTCGCGCGCTAGGGGACGCCCCTCGCGCTCAAAGCATGGTTTTCTACTCGCAGGCTGCACATTTTCTCGCGGGAGCAGCGTGGAGTGATGTGAAAGAGCTGGCCAAAGTAAAATACGTGCGCTGCTGTTTGATTTGCACGCGTGGGACCTCTACACGCGTGCGCGGATCTCATCTGCGCTCTCGGATTTTGACAGTGATTTGCCTTCATACAATGTTCATTTTACGTGAGAGGTTCCACTGTAGTGTTCAGAGTATGCTCAGCATCTCCTTTAACGGGCAGGCTGCACATCAGCAGCATAAACTACTATTTGCTGTTTAGGCTTGAGGTCAAATGATAGCATATTCAAAACAACCTTTTTTCTCCCACCAAGGCGACTGTTTATTATGTACTGTATATGTTGTATAAGTACTGATGTTCAATACAACTATGTATAAGTTGCATGTACTGTTGCATTGATTTGTGATATTTGTAGAGACCATCAGTTGCTTTAACCTGGAGCAAATATGACATGTTTGCATAAATGTTTGGTAAAGTATACATTTAAGGCACAGACACAGAGTTCCCAGTGAAATTAAGAACTTCATCAGCCTTCAGTTTTTGGCATGCAATATTTTTATTATACAATTCTCTTTTCATTCTTCTTTGGAAAATACGGGTAGAAGAAAAATGTATACCTTAAGGAGTTCAATGTTTTTCCATGCAAGAGTATATCTTTTCAAATATGTTTTGTATAAGCATGTAACAGCAACCCAAGCAGTATTGTTTACTTATATATCATGTTTTCTCTGTTTTGCATAATCATTGTGATATCATTTTATGATAAATATACAAGAATTCACGAGTACAGATGTTCAAAGACAAGGCAAATCTGCAATGCTGTGGCACCGGGCGGTCTGGACAGTTTGCACCTGAAAGGGATAGTTCAACATTTTGGGAAATATGCTAAATATGAAGATTTCTGTAAAGATTTAACAAAGAGCATGCAACACATTAATTAGTAAAAATCGAGAAGAGCTGGTGGGTAGCCCTTTCACTGTTTGTAATTATGATATTTACAAAACTGTCTCCCTCATCTGCTGTAGTACATTTTCTTTCCTTTTATTCTAAATCACTGCTTACCTTTGAATAATGTCATCATTGTGGTATGCCAAGTTATTGGTGTAAATGCTGGAAGCATTCATCAGCGTAAAATGTTGAATTGATTCACAACCTATGTTCTTCTACATATTTATTATTCTGCATCGTATTGACATATTTCAAGTAATTCTACTCCTACATTTTTCAAGGTAGCAACTAAAAATAAAAAGTTCAGCTCAATTTATCACTTTTCTCATTCATACATGTCATGCCTTTCAAATGTTCATACATATCAGTGAAGGACACTTTCTTTCCCAGTGCGTCAAATACCGACGCTTTGTCACACGCCTTGTGCGTCAGGTACCGACGCACAAGGCGCCCTTAATCGTCTGTATGACACGCACCTGGCTTTCAGGTAACTATAATGTAAACCCATCCCGTCATTGTTAGACACTCAGCGTGTGTCTCCTGTTTTCCCCTTTGTTTTCCAGTGTTTCCCCACTCTTCACTCCACTCTTCCCCTGTGTCTATTCTTTTTCCCCTGTTTGTCTCTGTCTCCGTCAAGCTCTCGCCTCACAGGGCGCTCATGTGGGCCACCACGACCAGCTTCTCCGGGATGTTCTGGAGTCTCTCAAATCCCTCTATGTATATCACAGATAGAGCTAAAATTCCCATTACTATGGGGTTACCCACTTCAGCCCGAGCGCCCCCTTTTTTGGGGGTTGTGGAGAAAGTTTAGCATATACCGTCAGAAGAAATGCACTTATTATGAACGAATATAATGATGTTGCACATCAGATTAAAGATCAGAACCTGGGCTACAAGAATATGTCAGCCCTTTTTACATGCTCCAAACACAACTCAAAACACCAACTAAATGAATTACCAAATATCAAAATCCATATAGCTCCACCTAGTCAACCCACTCCCCACATTTCTGGCTCTACCGCTGTGGTATTTTATGCAATACGCACACACGATATCTCAGAGGAAAGCAGACACTCCACAGATTCTGGACATATACATCAAATCCAGCTGCAACAAAGTAGCAAGATATGAGCCAAAGAACACCAACAACAGAAATCGCTTCATCAAACGATAGTTGTAAAATCTCTCTTACCTTTGCTGTTTTTCATCAATGTTTATTTTCCCGGTGAGACGTCCTGTGTTACACTAAAATCATTCCGGGCGTTTCTAGGTGGCTGTGGGTCCAAGCAGGAAGTCTGAGAATCGCCTTGCGTCATAGCCAGCACGTCTCACAGGACGGCGCCCTGCTGATTCTGATTGGCTAACAGTGCAGTCAATCTCATTTTGGTCGGTATAGCTAAATTCTATTGTCTCTAATACTTCAAATGAGGTGTCACTCACTGAAATTGAACATTGGGTTGCTGAGATAGAGCCCTGCGTAATCACAGGGGGCTGACATCGAGAAAAACTCCAGTAAGCAGAGACACAGAGAGACTCAGAGGGGATTCTAGCCTTCAAAATAAAGCCAAACTGCTGTATTTGGATGTATTGAACACCATTAGTGATATACAAGTGAAATATATAGTTTGGTACATGAGATGCCAAAATGACCATTTTGGAGACCTCGCCTGAAATCTCTATACTAAAACCTCTCTAATTTTGTTCTGCTTCACTTTATCAAAGTCAAACTTTGCAGAGAGACTGTTCACATATTGTGCTATGATTTGGGAGAGGTTTACACCTGCAGCTTCATCATTCCAAAGAAATAATAATCCTGTAAGTGCTTTTTTTTATTTTTAAGGCGAACCTGAAACTTTTCAATTTGTGCTGTGTGCCATCTTCATTTACTCTCAACCAGTAACATCTATACTGATATTTACACATCTGAATAAATCGCACAAGTGTTCCCTTTATTAAAACACCAACAATATTCAAATAGACCTTGTGGTTGCAGAGATATACTCTTTTTAGTTTGGGTATGCACTTTTCGAGCAGAGGCCTAGCTTTAGCCTGGGCTTCTAGTGTGTGGGACAGTCAGTCATCAGGATAAGGATGTTTATTGTCATTGTACGAACATACAACGAAATTAAGTTGGCGACTCAGTCAGTACAGCAGCAACAGTTAAAAAGTGTATAAAAACATTAAGACAAGATGATTTAAAAACAAGACATTAAATAAATATATACAAGATAAAGCACAGGCATGAATGGCTTCAAAGTGAAAAATGTGCTTGGTTACAGTGTCGTCTTATTGACTATATTTGTTTCAGCACTGTCCGGTGTGAGCTGGGTGGCGGTGGCGGGGTGATGGAGGAAACCGCTCTGGGGAAGAAGCTGTTCCCTCAGCTATCTCCTCCTACCCTAGTTTTGTTTTTGAAATGAAAGTTTTTGACCCCTGTTAGCGGTAAGGATGCTTCTACACACCTATTGTCCGTACTCGTAGCTCTGCTGGTGAAGTCTCTGTCGTACTGGAGAGCAATCAATGTTTTGTTACTTTATAGTTTATGTGTGTGGACTTCACAATAGTTGTGCAGAACGAAAGCAATTCCTTCACTTAATAAGCATTAATAAGAAAAGGAAAGTCCTCCGTTTTGTGTCCATCACCCTCCCTAAAGCCGCTAACCGTGACTTCAGACGGCCGCTCCGTAGGTCTGATAACGCCGCTGGACACGCCGCTCGCTGATTGCTCCACTAACAGCTGCTTCCTCCGTAATAATGCAGACTTTAACTGGACAACAGCCGCTAGTAAAGACAACAAGGTCAGCAACACCTGTAATCAGTTGTCCATGTTAAATTAACCTGGTAGTCAAGGCTGTTGTTTGTGATCTTCCGGGTAAGGGTCACATAATAGGGGCGTGACGAGCAAAATGAATGCGGTCTTTACTATAATTTGGACAATTATGTACCAATATTCGACAGGCCAGATTAAACAGCCCAACGGGCCGTAGTTTACCCATGCAGTGTATAGTATACATTCTATATTATATCATATTTTCACATCTAAACATATTTAATCTATCACTGTTTGGGGCCCTTTTAGTTAGGGGCCACAGGCAGTTGACTACCAGCCCAACAGTAATATCTCCCCCCTGGACCAAAATGTATTTTATTGGTGTTTCTGACTGTGATTAGCTGCTACTTGGGGGTCAGACTCAACTATGTCACACGCTGAGGACCCAAGGAAGTGCAGTGTTGAGTGTGAAGTTGTTTCTACGAACCGTTCTCCAGAAAGCTGCAAACCGCAACACCACAGGCCCATTCTGAATGTCTTCAATGGGCACTGAACTAATGAGTCTAATGATGAATTCATTTTTCATTTCAACTTTTCCTGTTACAGTTAAGAGTTTTTAAATATATTATGAGAATGCACAAAAACAGAAATAGTTTTTAAATATATTATGGACGTCTAGTCGACGTCCGTGTGGCGAGGCCGTAAAATAATAACTTCTTTCCTACCTTTTCAAATGCTCGAGTGCTGCACGTGAAACGGTGCCTTTGGAGAGGCTGTGCATCTGCGTTATCTGCTGCCTGGAAACTGCACTACTTTATATAATTTAACAACTACAAATTGCGTCACATCAAATATATTGGAAAAATGTACCGTAGCTAATCAAGGTGCGCCCATCTTTCCCGAGTGTCCGCAAATGCAGCACTGGTCCAGGATGAGTTCAGGCACCATGCTGCCATTAAAACACCCAAAACAGGTGAGCGCGTGACTTTGCTTTTTCCCAGAAAACTCGTTGAATATGATTTATGATAGGGGGTGTAACGTTATCCATTTTCAGGAACGCCGCCCTCACTATTATTTCGCAAGGAACGTGTGTTCCTTTGGATGAAATGACGCAAGCTCTAGCAGCGAAGCGACGTTACGTTAATGTTCCGTTAAACTAAGCACTTGACCTCGTCCACAGCTGAAACATATAAGGTCAGCTGTTAAAGGTAGTTGGTAAGTCTGCAAACGTAACTTGAATGAACCAAACAAACAGAAGTCAAATGATATAACGTTAACGTTATCGTTTCACCGTTTTAACTTGGCTAACAGTAGCTGTAGCTGATGTGTTTAACCTGTAGCGTTATCTTAAATTAGCTAGTTGGTGTTCTTGAACAACATTTACGTGAAGTTGGCGGTGAGTTTGAAAGTTTAAATAGCTGATTATTGTCAATATTTAGTGCTGAACTGACGGTCAGCACCTAGAACAAGGCATGTGTGTTTGTGTTTACTGTTGGTACCTTTTAAATGCAGTATGTGTTCACTGGGGTGACGTTACAGCTTGGGTCAAAATAGCATAATTTGACGTCATAGCACTTGGAAAACAAATAAACTCTTTCTTTCGTTTTTCATATTTTTGTATTATGTATGAAATCACATTGTTCTTTCTCCATTCAGAAATAATGATGGCCACAAATAACGTGGTTATTGAAGCCCAAAAGCTGGAGTCCTGTGGGGCAGCAGGGAATGGAGACAGCTCTATTCAAGTCAAGATATTACAGGTCCCAGCCAAATGTGGACCAATCCCTGCTGTGCAACCTCCACCCACAGCTGCAGGTGTCTCCAAAGGTGTTTCTGTCTCTGCCCCACCTAAAGTCATCCCAGTTGGCCATGTCTACCAACCTACCTCCTCTACAGTTACAGTCTCAGGGCGTCACACTTCCTGTCCCTCTGTCATGGTGGTAGCAAAGGTGGCCACCACAGGAGGAGTGTGCGCTAACGGCCACCCACATGTAGAAAAACCAGCCTTGAGCCAGGTGGCCTCTATGAACCAGACCACAACCCCAGGAAGGACAGTGGTGATAACCGTACCAAGGGCAGCAGGTCCACAGACGGTCACTGTGGCCCCTCGGCTGCCACAGACTGCCTCCCCACAGCTCCCAGCCAATATTCAGATACCACCAGGTGAGCTGCAAAACGCCACAGTTCTGGTCTAGATTCTAGTCCTGATTGGTGGTGATCTCATTTGTGTTTACAGCTTTGGCCACTGTTACATCTTGTATTCTGTTTTTCATATTCAGTAGATTGTGTGTTGAGTCTGTAACTAGTGTTTTAATGTCTGCCACCAGCTGTGTCTGTACTGTATTTGGTCCACGATGTATACATACTTTACCCAGCATGCTCTCTTTTCGAGACAAATCATCAATGAGATATAGTCAGTTATTTTGGTCTCTAATTCTGGCAGGTATGATGTTGATCCGCAGTGACAGTGGTCAGCTGATGCTCGTATCCCAGCAGGCTTTGGCACAGGCTCAGCAGGCACCAAGAGGTGTCGGCAGTCAAGCACCGAGAATACTGGTCCCACAGGTATGTGTGTGCTGCTGCTTTGAATTCATGTGACATCCTCACTCCTTTGGTCCTAACTAGCTGGCATGTCTGGGATTCAGGTATCTGCAGCAGCTGGAAATAAAAGTCATGAGAAGGTGACCGTGATCAGGATGGCAGCCCCTCCCAGTTTCCACCCAGCACCAGTCCAGAAGACCGCTGTGGTCAAGGTACACCAGCTGGTTTACTCCCATTCAGTCACTGACAGCAGCTCATGTAGTGGGCATGATGAGCATTTTTACTGCAAATCAACCTCACCTGTCACTAATAATAATAATGATGATAATAATATTTAACATGCCATTAATGACTATATTTAACCTGCCATTAATGGCGATAATACTTTACCTGCCATTAATGGCGATAATACTTTACCTGCCATTAATGGCGATAATACTTTACCTGCCATTAATGGCGATAATACCTTACCTGCCATTAATGGCGATAATACCTTACCTGCCATAAATTGTGAAAAATGATAACATGATACCGACAATGAAGACTGTTGTAACTGCTTAGTTTGTATTATGCTCTTCTGTTGACGATTGTAACAAGCTCCTTACCTGTTTTATTGATAAGGTAATAGCTATTAGGTCTGGTATTCAGCCTGGGATTTGTCCGTCTACCTGTAGCTCCTCTCAATCTCCTACTGTTCTGGACTCTTTCCAGCCTATCAGCCTTCAAGACCTGGTGGACTTAATCATGAAAACAAAGCCATCATCTTGCCCCCTGGATGTTATACCATCCTCTCTATTTCAGAAGGTTCTGCCAATTATTGGCCCTGCTGTAACATCTATTGTTTATTCCTCATTGTCTACAGGAATTGTCCCTTCCTATTTTAAACATGCCACTATCCAGCCTATTTTAAAGAAACCCAACTTAGATCCGGCTCTGCCCATGAACTACAGGCCCATATCAAAACTGCCTTTCCTTTCAAAAATCTTAGAGAAAGTGGTAGCCAACCAACTTACTGGTGCACTGGAGAGGCACAACATGTACAACAAGTTCCAGTCTGGGTTTCGTAAGCAACACTCAACTGAAACCGCTCTCCTGAGGGTTTCAGATGACATTCTCATGTCTTCTGATGCAGGTGACTGCTCTGTGTTAGTACTTCTCGATCTTACTTCCGCATTCGACACCGTAGACTATAACATCTTGATTAAGAGGCTACGTGATTGGGTAGGCATCTTGGTTTACATCTTACCTCGCTGACAGAAGTTTTAAAGTCTCTGTGGGTGACTTTGTGTCTGCTAGCTTTCCACTGTCCTGTGGTGTACCGCAGGGCTCGGTTCTGGGGCCTCTGTTATTTTCCCGATATTTGTTGCCTTTGGGACCGATTATTTAAAAAAAAAAAAAAAAAAAAAAAAAAAAAAAAAAAAAAAGTTATAATGTTGCCTATCATTTATATGCATATGATATCCAACTCTATTTTCCATTCAAACCCAGTGAGGCTTTTGCATTAACTAGGCTCCTGGACTGTGTCAATGCTATTGGAGACTGGACGGCATAAAACTGCTTCTAGTTATTGCACCAGATGAATTTGTCCCTACGATCAAGCAGAGTATTGGTCCACTCTCCTCTGCTGCCTATTTCAACCTGCGCAATCTAGGGTTATTTTTGATCGATCCATGTCGTTTGACCCCCATGTTATGCAGCTGTCCAGATCATGTTTCTTCCACCTAAGAAATATCAGTAAACTGAGATCTGTAGTATCAACACCTGAACTAGAGATGATTATACACACATTTATCTCTTCACGCATCGACTACTGTAACACTCTTTTCTTGTCACTCAGTGTATCTGCTCTCAACCGTTTACAGGTCATCCAAAATGCTGCCGCCAGATTACTCACCAGGACAAATAGACGGTCTCACATCACCCCCATACTAGGATCTTCACTGGCTCCCTGTAGAATTTAGGATCCACTTTAAAATTCTCACCCTCACTTACAGAGCACTACTCTCGGGTTAAATTTTCTGTCTGTCCCACGCACTCGCCTTAAGAGCCATGGTGACCGAGTTTTTGAGGCAGTAGCACCAAGGTTGTGGAATGCTCTGCCTCCACCTCTACGCTTTGCTGATTCTGTGAACTCATTCCAGAATGGGCTCAAGACACACCTGTTCAGACTGGCGTTTGGGTAACAACTCATGCCCTAGGCCTGCTTTAAGCCATGTTTTAATTTTGTTATTTCTGTTTTTGTGCATTCTTAATGTAAATTATTGGCCCTTATATGGTCACATTATGTTTTTTATGTTTGTAATTGTTGCTTTCTGACCATACATGACCAGTACCAGAGTTCCCTTGGAACTGGACTGAAACCCTCCTATTGAGGGGATCAGGGTGCAGTAGTTTAACCCGTACCAGAATCAACATTTCACCAAAATGCACAGATGCTTGAGTTTGTTTAAGGGCAGGTTCCCATCTACAGATGAAACTGACTCATCTGAAGTTCAAGTGGGACTCAAGTGAGCCTGTCAGAGTATGCATCCCAGCAGGGCGTATCTCCACCTTGCTGCTCCTACACCACAACAACATACAACTCTAAAAAGTCTTATCTGCTTAATTCACCCGTGGTCGTCACCAGTAGCTGCATGCCTGTTACCTTACCGTTATTTAGTTCTATCTGCTGCTGTTTTTAGTTTTGGAGTGATAGATTTGATTATGTTGTTCAGGTGATTGGTGTGACTCCCAAACCAGCTGTAGTCCAGACCCTCAGTGCTGTGTCTGAACGGGGCAGCCAGCCTCGCATTCACGCAGTCGTCACAGAACCCAAAAAGGAGACACCAACCGCTGTTAGTCAGGTGAGTGGAACCAGTCCCAGCTCAGACCTGCATCCTCGGTTTGGATTTCATCTCGCTGAGAAAACAGATTTCAGTCTGAACTGCATTGTGCTGTCAAACAGTCTTCCTTTGTATTATTACTGGTATCGTTTCCACTACTATGAAAACATTCCTGAAAGTATTATGAGTCTATTGTATGATTTCATGATTCAGAGTGTTATATGAGCTAAAATAAAATAAACTCCCTTCATAGTTCGTCAATGTTGCAAGGAGGAGATGACATTACCATGCTTCCAGTTTGACAGTATTTGTAGTCCAAATTATGATCTGACTCCAACCCCCTGAACATACCCAGCATGCCTAGTTGTTGTGGATGTCTCACTGTCAAGTCCCATGGTTATCTTGGGTGGAGGTGCACTTGTTTTCATGCTGACCATGCTCCATGTACATTTTGCCACTGAATGTGTACCTTTTTTTTGAGGATGTACTTATGATTCTGCCTTTTTTACTCGGGAGAAAAGTTTCTTTTTGTACATTTTCTGTTTATGTCGTCATTATTTGTGTTTTTTGTAATTGCACCATTACATAATTTTGCTATGGCGAAACAAGAAGAGTGTGTCACCAATTGACCCAAGTTGACCTTTATCAATATTGTTTATTGCCTGACATTTCGTCAACAGGCGACCCTGGAAAGTGTGAAGAAGTGCAAGAACTTCCTGGTGACTCTGATCAAGCTGGCCTCCAGTGACTCCAGGTCTGCCAACATGGCTAACAACGTCAGAGGACTGGTCAGAAGTCTGCTGGTACGTCTCTTCTCTTCATCAGTATTAGAATAATGAAATCTTCTTAAGTCTGAATTTGATAAAAGATGTCAATTTAAGGCTTGACTACAAAGACGCAGTTGTAGTCACCGTGTCTTCACCCATTTGTTTGTTGAATATGGTTGTGAAGCCTCAAGTTTGACTTTTTGGCCGCCGTCATCTTAATATTTTGGCAACCCTACTGCTGAAAAAGAGATTTTTAGTCAACATGATGTTCCAACTACGTTTTATGAACTGAACACACTGAAAGGGATAAAGTTCTAGGACGAAAGCATGGACAACTCCCAGACCGGACAGCGCCATGTTAGTGACCTTTTATCCCAAGGTAGCCCTGCCCTAAAGCATACTCTGCTTTATGGTCTGTTTGACTCTAAATGGACCATAATTTACTAAATGAACATCATGCTGTATTGAAGAAGACTTGAAACTAGAGATTGAGACCATAAACTCATGTTTACAATGTTTACTGAGGTAATAAATCGAGAGAGAAGTAGTCATTTTCTCATAGACTTCTATACAACCAGATGAGTTGCCCCCTGCTGGCTGTCAGAGAGAACTACTTACTTACTGAAAAGCTAGTATGTATATCTTGATAGTTAAGACTGTTTTGTCTAATCCCTGTTCTCCTCATACTGTCCATTTGTACTTGCATAATGGTTATCATGTATTAATTTACCAGTGTATTCTCTTTTGTTTACAACATAATGTTTCAGGTAACATTAAATGTATCAAAAGTGAAGCATTTGTCCTTTTTCCTATCCTGCAGGAAGGGAAGCTAGAAGCGGAGGAGTTTACAGACCAGCTTTATCGTGAGTTGAAGTCCACTCCACAGCCCTGCTTGGTGCCTTTCCTCAAGGTGACCACAGATTCAACAACATGTTATCGTTCTCTCCTCGGGTGTCTGCAGGTCTAACATGATTCAAACTCCAGACAGACTTTTAACTAAGGATGATGCAGATATATTTTGATGGTCAGTATTTGCTAAAATAAAGTAGATTAACATCCGATCCTTTTAAGTGAACTGGACTGGACTGTGTTTAGTCCACCTCAGCCCACTTGTGTTGCAGTGCTCGGCTCAGCCTCCATGGTTTTGTTCTTAAAACTGGAAACAATTTTAGAGTGTAAAGAACAAAGATTGTAAGATAGTTTCAACAACTCCAGCAGAGTGATACGTGACCTCTCTCGCTTCCCATAAGCAAGTCAGGAGTCTCATTCTCCCAGTTCCCTTCATATCATACTGATCATTTAAGCTTTGAATCAAGTCGTTTGGGCAAAATAAGTTGAGCTGAATTTAGAAGGCTACACTAGGCTATATGTCAGATATTTAATCATTGTTGGGTCAGGTCAGTAAATCTGCAGATACTATATAATAAAGGACTCTTAATATTGATCTGATCTTTTGTCAATGCACCCATGTGTATATTAATCACATAGTGAATCTACTTGCTTATTTATAGTTGGACTTTCTTTTTTTTCTCTTTGCCACCAGAAAAGCCTTCCTGCAGTGCGTCGCCTCACTGCAGACCCCCAGTTATTCATCCAACAGGCTTCAACTTCTACCAGCAACCTCATGAAGCAGTGCAGCACTGTCACAGGACAGAACGTCAGCACCAGCCAGCAGGTAAAGAAACGTCAAGGACATGGAACAGAAGTATGCATGTGGAGTACAAAGACTTGAGACAGGGAGGGTAACGGTGGGGCAGCTGCATGAAAGGAAAGATTGCAGTATATCTTTGGACAGGAGTGTGTATCATGTCACCCACTCACAGACAAACGGCTCCAGAGTGATACTAGAGGTCAAAAACTCCACTGGGAACCTTTTAGGTGCATGCAAACACACGAAGTGATGCAATGTGGAGTAAGACATGTAGAACAGCAGCTTAATTAGCTTTACAAAAGGAGGGGGGCATATTCCAAGAGAATTTACGAGATTAAATGCACAAATTTGCGAGATTGTAGAGTCATAAATGTACGTGACAAAACTCAAGAAAATAGTGCAGTGCTTGTTTTTGTTACATTTCACTTTGAGATGGTGTGAGCATTGGAATGCAAAGTGTCTCTCCCCTGTAAAGTCGAGGACATAATTCATTATCGTCTGTGGGTCAACACAAGCAGCTGTGTTATGTGCCTCTCTGTGTTGTCCTGTCACTCTGACACAGTGACAGCGCCTATCTATGGTAACAGTGGGTATGGAGGAACGTCTTCTCAACCGTTGGTTTTTAGGGTTTGCTGTGTTGAAATAAGAGACACTCCTTGGTGTAGTCAAAGATAAAGTTGTTCGTCTCTACTTTCCTGGAACTTCTTCAATATTGGTGTTCATTCATGTTCATAAAAGAACATGAAAGGAATGGTGTACGTTTCTCTCAGGACCTTCTCCTCGCTCAGAGCCCTTACTCACCATAATAACATGACTTTAGAAGCAGCAACATTCAGATGGCTGGCCTTACCATGGTTTTGCACTCAAAAAACATTTTTCCTCATAAATGTTTGACACTAGCTCAACATCCCTCCACTCTTCATCCACTGGGTTCACAATTTTGCCAGCAGCAGACCACAGGCTGTTAGGAGAGGCACAGTAACACCATTAACCATCATCATGAGCCCCTCAGGGCTGTGTCCTCAGCCCCTTCCTTTCTACCCTCTACATCAGGGGTCTTCAAGGACCCCCAAACTGATAGAGAGATGGAGCAGGGACCCCCGACTATATATATTGTATAAAATAGTGTTTTATATTAAATGGGCCTAGTACCATGTATAAACATACCTCTTTATTGTGCATTCATTACTAAGCTATTCAAATAATACACAGGTTCATATCTTCATGTTTTTATTTTAAACATGTGCAAGGTACAGTGAGTAGGGAGGCCGTGCCACTGCCTTTTACAAACATGCCTTGTCAGCTGATACCAATGCCAATATCAACATTGTCTGTTAATAGCATGATAATCATCACACAAGCTATTCAAACTGATGTTTTCATTTTAAACATAAATGTGGAAACTAAAGTGAATGATGGTCTATTAGTGCCACTGCCATGCATAAACATACCTGTTATCTTTCATACAATACTGAACCATTAAAATAATGGAAAGATTCATGTTTAGAGGAAAAGGAAAAAAAAAAAAAATTGTCAACCAAACATTTCGCGGACCCCCTGTTGAAGACCTCTGCTCTACACTAATTCACCCATCGCCACATACTGCAATACTTGGACTACTCAATGACAACAACTCTGTCAAAACTCTTTCTCACTTCACACAATGGTGAACTGACAACTACCTCCAGCTCAACGTGGGCAAAACTAAAATGCTGGTCGTGAGGGCATCAAACACTAGCTTTAGCAGGAGCTTTGTCCTGTCTGACAAACTGCCTGGTTGACAGTGTTGTGAGTGGGATGGATGACTGCATGTATGAAGATTTTCTTCACTGTCTTAATATGTATGTTGCCATGTGTATATCTTTATATTTCTGTGTTGTACTGGCTGTGAAAACCAATCTCGCCCTGAAACAATCAATCTAAATCTTATCTTAATGATTGCCCTTAAACTGCAGGTTATCCAGCAGCCTCCAGGAGTGACTCTGAGACCGGGTATGACGACATTAGTCCAGTCCAGAAATTACATATTGAAGAGCAGCAGACCCATCCCCAAACACACAGTGGTCCAGTCAGGAAAGCCCTTTGCAGGTAACATTGGAATGCCATCACTTGATTGTGTTTCTTGGTGTCATTTTTTGCCATTTGTGAATCTAATCAGAATCTTAGAACACAAAAGTCTCATGTGAGCTAGTGTATCTCTTTTTCCCCCAGCCCTCTACTAGAACATGTTTAATGTAAAAGAACAGCTAGAGCCTGAGCCCCACGGCCTCCTCTCCACCCTGTAACCTGGAAAGAGGACGGGCTGCACAAACACAAGAATGTAGACTGAGTGTAACGGTGCACATTCATCAGGGTGTAGTTCATGCCCTGGTTTAGGAGTCACGGTTCAGTGCATCTTTGGCACATCGGGGAAAGAAGGATCCGTTCTGCTGGGGACTGTGGTAATGTTTTGCCCACTGGCAACTTTGGTAAACTATTTTTATTATAGAAATAAGTAACATTTCTGTATTTCGCTGTATAAACACTGAACTAACACTTTCCCAGAAGAAAACCGGTACCAATAGGCTATATTGAAATACTAGGCTATACTGAAAAGCATCTCTTATGTCATGAAAATACCAAAATAAAGTTGTGCCTTAGGGGTGAGTGTTCATGAGTTACCCAAAGTACCCAAAGATTTCTCCTCCTGGTGATCGGCACTTCTGGGTGATGCCGCCGAATGTGCGTCAGCATGTTGGATGTGTTTCCATTCACATCCCCTACAACGTTGGCGCAACACCGTCGCACCATCCTCGTCTTGTACACAACTTTGTCTCCGTTGCTGTTGACGCTGACCGGGAACCCGCAGTCGGCTCTGACGTTACGTGACCCACTCGACGTGACTGTTGGGTACAAATATCTAGAAATGTTATCTAACACGTACCAGTACTGGTGTAACTGCACAAAGATCCCATTGCAATGGAAATGTAATCAGAAAGGCCAGACTTCATCAAATCTACCAGGGCTACCTTTCTGATTTGCATATTGAGATTAGATTACAATGCAACAAGAATGCAGTAAGACTATTGCTTATTAATACGAGGTGGAGATGCACAGGCCCCATACTCAGATGAAGTCTTAGTTAGCCCGTCACTGCGGCCTGTAGTCACACAATTTCAGCGAACTCCAATTTCTGAGTCTCTAAAGTATTTGTGCCGACCGAATTACATCCACAAACTCAGACAAAGACTTGGCTAAATATACTTCTACTCTCCAAATAAATTTGTATGTTTTTCTTTTTTGTAGGAACCTTTTCATTGAAGCAGCCTTTCACCCAGGAGCCACCTCGTTCCACCAGATTTGCATTCAAGGACAGTTCAGGATCATACAAGTAATACATCCAGTTGATGTCTTTAGACTCAGGTGTGAGGGTTTCAAGTGAAGCAATTCAGTAAATCTGACCAGCATTCTGTCAAAAGGCAAAGTGTGTTCGCGTGTGTGTGTGTTCGCGTGTGTGTGTGTTCGCGTGTGCGTGTGTTCGCGTGTGTGTTCGTGTGTTCGCGTGTGTGTTCGTGTGTGTGTGTGTGTGTTCGTGTTCGTGTGTGTGTGTTCGTGTTCGTTCGCAGAGAGGAGGATGACATTAACGATGTAGCCTCCATGGCTGGAGTCAACCTGAGAGAGGAGAATGCACAGATCTTGACCACGGTGGTTGGCTCTGTGGTGCAGTCGTGCCAGGATCAGCCTTTCCTCACACCGAACCCAGTGCTGCACCGAATCCTCCGTACAGGTACAGGAGCCAGACTGAGACCCAGCATTCATTACACCAGTGTTACTGCAGGCTACTCTTTAGTTTAACAGCCACTGATGGAGATCAAAGGCACAAACAAAATCCTAATAATGGATATAATATAAGGTGCCAGGCTACATTTAAAATGTTTACAGACGAATGTTTGATGCCACTGCATTCAATTGATTCATTAAAGTCTCAACAAGACCGATAAATATAACACATTTATTTAACTGTATGAACTCGCCTGTAATGTGTGTGACTCTTGTTGAGATACTCTTGTGTCTCCTGTGTTAGGACAGGCATTGGGAGTAACGGATGTCGGTCCAGAGGTGGTGGCTCTGGTGTCTCATGCCACTCAGGAGTGTCTCCGTGGGCTGCTGGAGAAGCTCACTGTGATGGCAGAACACCGCAAGGCGGCCCTGAAGGTACAGCAGTGTGACCCCGACCCAAAGCAGCCGCAGTGGCAAACTCCATGTTATTGCAAAGGAGTGATTTATATGTATTCACACTAAGAAAAAATGATCATACGTGTCTGCTCAGTTTGTTATGATGAAAACGTTTCTTGTTTTTACAGATCCTATGGCATTATTAGCTAAGCCAATCACAGTGAAGCATCACAACAGCTCAAATAGAAAGATTTGTCTTCAGGGAATCAAAGTGTTGTCAGGATGTGACAGAGCAGCACGACATCCCATACAAGTCTGCAGCCAAAGGCAGAGTGTGTGTGTGCGTGCAGTGAATTGGCACTGATCGTGATGATGATAGAAATGGATAATAAGATGTTGACAAAGCCGTTTATAAATACGATCACCTCACCCGTGATTTAGATTGTTATTCTACTACCTCTCACAATGTAACCGGTCACATCATTTTGTAAAATGTGACATAGCAGAGTTTGCACCGCTTTGTATTTCAAGCAGTGGCGAACTCGCGCTGATCGAAGGGCATGAGCGGAAAGAAAGTCTGCCATGGAAACAGGGTCGCTCCAACGTGTGTGTGTGTGCGCGTCAACAGGAGGACTTGTGGCATGCCAAAGTGAGTGATGTGCGATCCCAGCTTCGCTTCCTGGAGGAAGTGGAGAGTTTGAAGAAGAAGAGGAGAGATGAAGAGGAGAGAGAGAGACTGCTGCGTTTGGCCAGAGTGAGCTTATGTTTGAATTAAACCACCAGATAAATATCAAGATTAGTTCTCATGAGCATTTGATCTGAAACCACTGTGACCATTTCTACCTATATTTAGGTCCATTCTGCTCACTAACTTAACATCTGTCTGTTTGTGGTCAGAGTCGCTCACACACTGAGGATCCACTGCATCAGCAGCTCAAGCAAAGAGCCAAAGAGGTGTGCGTTTCAACTCAACCATACAATCAAACTAAAAGCTGTGGAGAGGGATCTGTTTACTTATATATATATATAT